TCTCTCTCTCTCTCTCTCTCTCTCTCTCTCTTTCCCTCTCTCTCTCTCTCTCTCTTTTAATGAGACAGGGTTTGTCTGTGTAACCTTTCTTGTCCAGGCTGGCCTCAAACTCACAGAGATCCTCCTGTCTTTGCCTCCCCGAGTGCTGGGACTCCAGGCATGTGCCACCACACCTGGCTCTTTTTCTTTTTAATTACATTCATCGTATTAAGTGATAGTGTTCTTTATGGCATTTTCATAGAAGTATATCCTATACTTTGTTCATACTCAGTCTCTTGTTACCCTCTTTTGTCCCCTAACTCCCTTCACTGGTGCCTTCTTCAAATAGGCCCCTGCTAATTTTCACTTTATCTATGTCTGTATTTTAAAGTCTGGATGCTATATGTGAGAGCAAAAACATTTATTTTTTTGTGTATGTATTATTTTGCTTACCATGATGATCTTACGAGTGCCCTTAACATGATGATTTATAAGCACCACATTTTTGGTTTTAAATTGTTTTATTAATGTTTATGGGTTTCTCATTGACAGTTTTTCAAATATATAATCTGCATTGACCGTATTTATTTCTCACCACCCTTTCCCAGTCCTCGTGTACTTGTTAGTTTCTCTTTTATTTGCTGCTGTATATATGTGTATACACAAACATATGCATTTATAAAAATTCAGTTTTAGAGAGGAGAGAAAATATGTGATTCTCCATCTTTCTTTGTTTGGCTTGTTTTGCTTAATGTGACAGTCTCCAAATCTGTCTGTTTTCTTTAAATAACACAGTTTCATTTTTATGGCTCAATAAGTTTCCATTATTTAAATGCATATTGCATTTTCTTTATCTCTTCATGTGATGACAGACACTTAGGCAGATTCCCTAGCTTGACTGTTATGTGTAGTGTCTCAGGAAAGCTCTGTGTGTTTACTTACATTGCTTTGGGTATATATCTAGCAATTATATTTCTGGATCATATGGTAGTCCCTGATTTAGATTTTTTGGAGGTGTTTTGTTTTGTTTTGTTTTTGTTTTTGTTTTTTTTGTATTGATTTCCAAAATGGCTAGAAAAGTGGTGGGTATTGATGAATTCCCCATTGGCTCTTATTTTCTGCCTTCCAACTAGCAATACTTCTTCTCAGATAAACTTCGCTGGCTATCATGCTGCTAATTTAAAAGCTGTTTGTATGTATTTGGGTTCACATGCATGATTGTGTGCATGCATGTATGTGTAGTGCCTGTGGAGGTCAAAGATCAGCCTCAGGTAATTGTTTCTCAGGAGTCACCCACCTTGTTTTATGAGACAGATTGTTTTACTAGGACCTGGAAATCACTGATCCAGCAAGGCTGGCTAGCCAGCAATCCCCAGAATTTCCCTATCTCTGTCTCTTAGCCATGGGATTATAAACCCGGACCACCATGCCCAGCTTTTATACAGGTGTTGGGGATGGAACTGAAGACCTCATGCTCGAACAGTAGGCACTTTGCTTGTTAAGCGGTTTCCCCAGCCCTTGTTTATTGGTTTAATGAGAGCCATTGTTACAGGGATGAGATGGAATCTCACTGTAGTTTTGATTTTTTTTCCCCCAGTAGCTGAGGTTATTGAACTTTTCTTGTATCCATTGGCTCTCTCAACTTCCCTTTTGAGAAGTGTCTTGTTTCTTTGGTGTGCTCATTGACTAATTGAATTTTTTTGTTTAATTTCTGAATTCTTTATGTATTAAAAATACTAAAAGTGTTTCACCCTTGTTACTGTAAGCCAACTCTTCAAACTGGGATTTCAAGCAATTCTGTTTGTCAGTTCTTCAAATAATCTACCCAGGTATTAGAGACCTTTTTGTCCTTGCCTATCTTCCCATTCAGCTGTTTCAGAGGTTTAGGTCTAACATTTAATGTTTTTTTTTTTTTTATTAATTTTTGAATGGAGTGTGTGTGTGTGTGTGTGTGTGTGTGTGTGTGTGTGTGTGCGTGCAAGATTAGAGATATATCAATAATTCTCTGTTTAGTTCTGTTTACCATTTTTTAATTGGATTACTTGATTTGTTGCTTTTTAACGTCTTTAGTTCTTTCAATATTCTGGATATTAGCCATCTGTCAGATATTGGGTTGGTGAAGACCCTTTTCCAATCTGTAGCTAGTTGTTTTGTTCTGAGGACAGTGTCCTTTGCTTTACAGAAGCTTTTCAGTTTCATGAAGTCCCATTTATTGATTGTTGCTCTTAGAGCCTGTGCTGTTGGTGTTCTGTTCAGGAAGTTGTCTCCTGTGCCAATGAGTTCCAGGCTCTTCTCCACTTTTTCTTCTAACAGGTTCAGTGTGTCTGGTTTTATGTTGAGGTCTCTGATCCACTTGGACTTTAGTTTTGTGCAGGGTGATAAGTATGAATTTATTTGCATTTTTCTACATGTAGACATCCAATTAGACCAGCACCATTTGTTGAAGATGCTATCTTTTTTCCATTGTATGGTTTTGGTATCTTTGTCAAAAATCAGGTGTCCATAAGTTAGGAACCTGCCACAGAGGGCCTCTGAAAGGCTCTGCCCTGCAGACTGTCAAAGCAGGTGCTGAGATTTATGGCCAGCCTTTGGGGAGAATGCAGGGCATCTTATGAAAGAAGTGGGAAATAGTAAGATCTGGAGAGGACAGAAGCCCCACAAGGAGAGCAACAGAACCAAAAAAAAAAAAATCTGAGCACAGGGGTCTTTCCTGAGACTGATACTCCAACCAAATACCATGCATGGAGATAACCTAGAACCCCTGCACAGATGTAACCCATGACAGTTCAGTCTTCAAGTGGGTTCCATAGTAATAGGAACAGGGACTGTCTCTGACATGAATTGATTGGCCTGCTCTTTGATCACCTCCCCCCTGAGGGGGAGCAGCCTTACCAGGCCACAGAGGAAGACAATTAGTCCACTTCCGATGAGACCTAACAGACTAGGATCAGAAGGAAGGAAAAGAAGACCAGTGGTCTTGGGGTGGGGGGAGTATGCGTGGAGAAGGGGGAGGAAGTCAGGGGTTGGGAGGGGAGGAGGGAGGGAACTATAGGGGGAATACAAAGTAAATAAGTGTAAGTAGTAAAAAAAAAATTAAAAAAGGAAAAAAAATTAGAGATATATTCTTGTTTAATCCCTTTATATGAAAATGCCAAGTTTTCTTAGCACCATTTGTTGAAGAGGCTGTCATTTTTTTTTTTTTTTTTTCCTGGGCTTTTCTCCCATACCTTTGTTAAAATTTAGAAGGCTGGAGCTGTGTGAATTTATTTATGGTTCCTCTGTTCTGTTGCATTGGCCGTTGTATCTCTGTGCTAATACCATGCTGTTTTTTATTGGTATGTTTCAGTAGTGTTTCTTTCTTATGGCTTTTACCCATTTTGTTTACCCAGATGTTATTTATTTATTTACCTGTTTGGTCTCACTTTGTAGCACGGGTGGGCGTGTAACTCAATATGTAAGTAGGCTAGCCTTGAAGTTGTAATGATCCTCCTGCTTCAGCCTCCTGAGTGGTGAGTCTTCAGGCAGAAGCTACCTTGTGAAATTACGTTACACAGTAAGGAGAAAGCAGATGGATTGATTTTATTAATGAAACAGTTTATATTTAAATATAATGAGATTCTAGAGCATTGCTAAGAAAGTTCTGAAGGAAACAAGTGTCTGTGTAGTAAGAGGTATTTTAGGGGTCTTGTTATGTATCCTTAGCCTCTTAGATAAGTCCTGTGTTGCTGCCAAGGAGAGAATTATATGAGTAGCTTAAGCAGTACACATCTTTCAAATACCTTTACTTGTTGTTAGAAATGCATGTTTTTAAAAAGAAAAATAGTGACATTTGTGATTCTTATTAAAGACATATATAAGATGTAAAACATTTTTTTTTTCCTAAATGTAAACACCAGTCTAACCTCGGTTAGGTTTTGTTTGTTTGCTTGTGTAGTGATTGGAAAAATCAGCTTTGGTGTCAGACTATTCAAGTTCTGGTCCATCTGCATTTTCATAAAAATATTACCATCTGTTTTCTCATCCGCTCTGAAATGGCCCCTGCAGGCCTGAAGGGCCCTGTGCTTCGTGCCTGTTTGTCTCCTTTTTAAAAATTCTCTAAGGAGAACCAGGGTCCACTCTGTTCTCCACTGCTGTCCTCTCTTACACTTCTTGTCTTTCTTGTAGCCCTGTCATCTCTGAACTCCCCAAGAACTCTGAGCTGTCACCCTCTAGCTTTGAAATCTAAGGGAAGTTGCTTAATTTGAGGGAACTTGAGTCCTAATCTATCAAATAAATATAGTAGTTTCTGATCTATAGGGTTATATGAGTATGTGATACAAGAACATAGTCAAGAAATGCTAGTTTTATCTTATTTTCCTTGCTGGCTTTCATTGTGGTTCATTATTATTATTCTTTATAGACTTAAAAAAGTCAAGTTTGTCTGTTTAAACTGTTTTGAATGACAAATAAATGTCCAGGTCATCTATAAAATATTAGCATTTAAGTTTGATTGAATGTCTCAGACTGTGTTATATGTACAGCACTGTTTTCATTATATTTAATATTTAAT